GATGGCAGTGGGTCTGGGACTACATGTCCCTCTTCGCCCCCTCTGACTGCAGGCGAGGGCCCGGACTGGTCCACCAGTCGGAACTCAGCAGCAAAGCCCCGGGCTCTAGCGTACTTCAAAAGACCCAACACTGCGTTGTTGTTGAGGTTTTTAATGAGGTCCCCGACCCCTGCCTCGTGAGCCACTCGCAACTCCCTGGAAAAAATACATTTCTTTAAGAATTCAAAGTTTTGGAACATTATTGAAAGTAATTTTCCGCTAACAACACTTTTTCTCTGCTCGTGTTCCCTTGGGACCTTTGGTTCTTAAAGTGACTGAGAAAAACTATTAAATCCTCCTCTTTGCCCCTGCTCAGGTTCACATTTCAGGCTAAGCTGGGCGCACGCTGGTTCCCTGCAGTGTGTGTGCGTCCAACAAGAAGCAGGGAAAACAGGAAGCAGCAGATGCCGCTCTACGGGTTCTGATTGGAGAGGGCAGCCCGCACCGGGGAGCTAATCCCAGCTGAGGTACTGACTTCTTAATGGTTCACATTTTCTGTCATGAAACATTAGCCTTCTCTTGCTCACCGTGGGGATTACGCAGAGCATAATGGAGTTACAGTCAACTAGGGGTGGGCGATACCACAAAATCTGGATTCGATCCGATACCAAGTAATTCAGGGCCAGTATCGCTGATACCGATATCGATACCGATACTTTTTAAAATGAAAAGCGTCTTATGTACTTTCATATAGGGGAGAGCTGCATGACATGATTTTTGAGCTGAAAGCATCATAGACTAAATCTGAATTCATTTTCATGAATAAAGACAGGACCGTTTTTATAGACAAACGTTTTATTTTTGCAAATTTATAGTGCAAACATGAAAAATAACAATACAAAGTGGCCAGAGTAGCGAACTGCCTTCTTGCACACATCACAGTTCGCTAAGTTTTCATTGTCAGTTGTGAAATAGCTCCACACAACGCTCCTCTTTCTCTCAGCCATCATGCACGTGTGTGTCGCACTCGCGAGTCGCTGGCTGCTGCTGCCCTGCTGGCAGTCAGCTTGATAATCGGCGTTCAGGCAGGGAGCGCTCGATGAGAGGAGGACAGCAGTGGAGAGAAAAGAGCGCATATACTTGTGTTCGTCTGCACATAGTTTTTGATGAAATTGACGAGTAGAGGAGAGGGGGAAAAAAGTATCGATCCTATTGGCTCTAGTATCGATATTTTGAAACGTAACGTAATATCAGTAGTATCGATATTTTGGGATCGATCCGCCCACCCCTACAGTCAACACCTGCATGTAATTGGTTAACCACCTCACATGGGCAAATCACACATAAAAAATAACATCTGCACACTCAGACTAACATGTAACCTCAGTTAGAACATAATGAGTCTTAAGGTAACTACACCCTGAGGCCCCGGCTCCACGAGGACGAAAACGGGTTGAATCCGCATATTTCTCATGCGTATAGCCCTCTAAGCTCGACGACGCCGTAAGGGAAACGTAGAAACAGACCCCGCAAACGACAACGGGTCCAAAGGTGGATAGATCTGGGAACGGAGCGCTCTGGGGGGTCCAACGGGGCCGTGGAGTCGCCTATACGGTCATTCGTTTTCATAGCCCCGCCTCTCCCCGCCTCACAGTCATTAATACTTCAGACGTACCAAATATTAAATAATGCTCATTTCCTTTTTGATTTTGCCTGTCCTGTTTGCACCCCTCTCTCTAGCTCCCAGTGAGTGGCAGCACTTTGCACGACCAGATAGCGATGTTGAGTCACCAGCGCTTCAACGCCCTGCCCACATGTATCCAGCACAGCCTTCTGGGACGCAAGATTCTCGCCACCATCGTCATGAGGCGGGGGGAGGGCCTGGGGACCGTTGTCAGCCTGGGAACTGGTATATCCGTCAACTTTTGCATGCATTTTTCCTTGATGTGAAGAAGTTTTATAGAACTCTGTGCTTAGAGGCATATACTGTCAGAAAGCCGGACTAGGTCACTGCTGACCAAGAGGCGTTGCATTGGTTCATGCTCTGACATTGAATATGTTTCTATTGTTTTGCTTTTCTGTCAGGAAATCACCGTGTCAAAGGGGAGGAGCTGAGCCTTAAAGGGGAAACTGTTAACGATTGCCACGCCGAGATCATCTCCAGAAGTGCAATTGAAATGCTCTGGGAAGTGTCTGCCTAAATCACATTGTACCTGTGACTAAGCACTACTTTAGCCCGTTCTGTTTTTGCAGGATGAGGGGGAGATCCAGGTTTGCCTCTGGAGGGAGTCCAATCTGGTTCCCATAACAGTCCGGCAGTGGCTCAGTCAGTAGGGGCTTGGACTGGGAGCCGTAGGGTCGCTGGTTCAAGTCCCCGACCAGACCTAAATATGGAGTGTGGACTTCTACTTGGAGAGGTCCCAGTTCACCTCCTGCCCTGCTGTGGTGCCCTTGAGCAAGGCACCGGACACCCCCCTTCCCCCCCACTCCCATTGCTCCCCGGGCGCTGTACAATAGCTGCCCACTGCTCCTAGTACTAGACTCCTTGTACTAGGATGGGTTAAAAGCAGAGGCCAAATTTCACTGTGTGCTGTGTGCTCTGCATGTGTGACCATTAAAGAGGGTTTCATCCCTCCCTATTCTTCTAAATAGATGGCATGTTGATCCTGGTGAGCCATCTGCGTGGCAAAAATGCCCCGAACCACGGTTTCTCCTTCCACTCCACAGCCTTCACGGAGGTAGAGGTGAGTAAAGTACTCGAGGTGTTTTACTCATGCGCCCTATATGGCTAGTATTTTACTAAACATCTGGCAACAATGACTAAATTGTATGTTTATGTTCTGTAGCTTCTTTCCATGACAACAAAAATCAAGGTGGAGGGACTCCGCGTTTTAGAATGTGGAGACGCGGAGCTGCTACAGGAGAACGGGACCAGGATCGTAGTAGATCGAGCCATTTGGTTGAAGTACGAACCTCCAATAGTCGCCATGCCAGAGTTTAATTTCATCTTTACTACGTTGGCATCTGTGCACGTCACATGCATTTAAAACGTAAAAACACACCATGCCCCTATTTGCCCACCCTGGACTAATAAATGTCCTTGGTGATTAACACAGGGGGGCAAATTGAATCTCTCATAAACCTGTAGTGAAGGAACACCGTCCTCTCCCCCAGAGTGATCCCTCTCCCCCAGAGTGATCCCTCTCCCCCAGAGTGATCCCTCTCCCCCAGAGTGATCCCTCTCCCCCAGAGTGATCCCTCTCCCCCAGAGTGATCCCTCTCCCCCAGAGTGATCCCTCTCCCCCAGAGTGATCCCTCTCCCCCAATGCACCCCCACAGTCTGAGGTAGAACATCTGATGAACTAGTTGGACAAAAACACAGGAACTAACATTAAGCTAATTGAGGAATTGATCTCCAACAATTAAATGTAATGTTAAAAGCTCGTTGAGCCAATTTATTTCAAATAAGTAATGTGTAAGTGGCACGGCCTTGTTGAATTTCCTTTTGAGTTTCACGCTCTGTGGCATTATTACAATGATGTTCACATTTTTTGTCAACAGTAGTCATCCTTCGGGTTGGTGGTGATAAGCTTTATTCTGAGCAAAGCCACTAGGTTGCTAAACTACTGTTATCTTAACAATTTGTGATTTATTATTGAATGTCTTTGCTTGCAAGTGTGTACGGGGACAAGCTGCGCGGACAGGTGGAAGAGCGCTTGTCTTTCTATGAGACGGGCGACGTGCCACGCAAGAATCTGGATGTCATGAAGCTGTGAAAGAGGTGAGTGCAGAAAAGAAGCTCTTTACCCATGGATCAAATGTGTCCTATAAAAAGTTCAGTCTGTAAATGCTGTGGATGATGACAAGCTTTGTCCTGACCCTACTGTGGGGGTTTAAAATGATTTAATGAGCCTGACGCAGCATTAGGATGTAGAAATGATGAACCAAACAAGCCAGTTTGCAACCATTTAATAATTTTTTTTGTCCTAGGCTACTGAGATCAAGCGGAAGCGTGAAAAGAAGACGCTGGCGAGACCAACGGTGAAGCTGAGGTAAGCAGTGGTTTTAGTTTCAGGACTCGCATGTTTTGATTTGAGATTTGACCCTCACATGGTCCTCTCAGTGTACGACATGCTAAATTATCATGACTCTGAACCATTGGCTGGTCCCAAATAATGGACCCGATCACTGAAGTGAGTCAGACATTGCATCCACATAGAGCAGGATGTATATACATTGAGGGCTTGGAGTAAACATGAATATAGTTATTAACCTTTTTTACTGTCTTACAGGCAGAAAATGGAGACGCAGACACAAAGCCAGCGGCCGAGGAGATGGAGGTCGAGGCAGAGGAAGCCCCTGCTGCACAGAACGGAGCCGAGGAAACCCCAGGGAAAAAGACGTGGAGGTTGCTGTGGTCGAAGATAACGGAGCAGAGGTGTCTCTGTCTCTGTGTGTGTCTCTGTGTGTGTGCCACATGATGACATGTATAGATGCCGCAGCCTCCGGGCCGTGAGGACCTCTCATCTATCACCCTTGTCTGATGGCTGCTCGTTAATGAGGACCAGTGTTTCCGCCAGACCAGGGCTGAGAGGGCGTCCACCCCGAGAGCGGGGGGGGGGCGGGTGCTTGAATTTTGACTTGAGCCGTCCCTTATAGATACTGTCTTTTTACGTTAGTGAGCCGGATCATTTGGCTCGGCTCTCTTAAAGCGCCGGCTGTTTCGGCTCCCAAGCGGCTCTTCATGTTACCACAGTTTACCACGGAGCCTCAGTTTCGCCGCTGCGAGGCTCTGGTGTTCACGCGCGTGCTCCACTAGCACCGCTCATCGCGTCCAAATCGCGCACGTTCCGTGTTGTGCTGTAGCAGGCACCGCCGATGTCGGGGAAACAATCTTCAATACTCCGAAAAGAATCCCACCAGACTCCTTTGCCTCTCCAACAGAGGGATGTCCTTTTTCCTATTTGTTATTTCAAGCGATAAAAACTCTCGACTCAACTCTCATGTTGATCCTGGTGAGCCATCTGCGTGGCAAAAATGCCCCGAACCACGGTTTCTCCTTCCACTCCACAGCCTTCACGGAGGTAGAGGTGAGTAAAGTACTCGAGGTGTTTTACTCATGCGCCCTATATGGCTAGTATTTTACTAAACATCTGGCAACAATGACTAAATTGTATGTTTATGTTCTGTAGCTTCTTTCCATGACAAAAAAAATCAAGGTGGAGGGACTCCGTGTTTTAGAATGTGGAGACGCGGAGCTGCTACAGGAGAACGGGACCAGGATCGTAGTAGATCGAGCCATTTGGTTGAAGTACGAACCTCCAATAGTCGCCATGCCAGAGTTTAATTTCATCTTTACTACGTTGGCATCTGTGCACGTCACATGCATTTAAAACGTAAAAACACACCATGCCCCCTATTTGCCCACCCTGGACTAATAAATGTCCTTGGTGATTAACACAGGGGGGCAAATTGAGTCTCTCATAAACCTGTAGTGAAGGAACACCGTCCTCTCTGCGGATCCTGTCGGGAGAAACAAACACAAATGCAATGACTTTGGTTGTGTTCAACCCACTGCACAACATGGTTCATGCAATGGTAGTAAACCTCTGCTTAACACCTTTTCTTAATCTATCCTTCAGGTATGGACATCTCACCCATTGATCTGATCAAGGTGCTTCCGGTTTCGCTATGAGTGGTCGCATTTTCGAGAGCTCCCGCTTTGGAGGTTATTCCTCACGATTTTTTACATATTTCATCCTCCTGACAATATGGATTATGGACTCCTACCTCAACTCATCAATGAGGCAACATCACTTAGAGAAGGAGAGTAGTGAAAGCAGGGATAAAATGAACCACAATGACTTTTACCTTCTCAACGGCTGGGAAAGGAAACACCTCGCTTTTGGAAGTGCAAGCATTCATGCATTATTAACTGCAAACCCGACGCGAAAGTACTTACCCCCGTCAGGCAAACTAGACCGAAGAAGTATGATCGTCTTGGTCTTATTGTTAGCGGGAGACATCCATCTGAATCCGGGCCCGGTGCAGACAAGAAGCCATTCCTGCAGGCTCGAGGAGCTAGCATCACAACTAGCATCACAACTAGCATCTCTTCCGCTACAGCAACAACTACGCGACGACAACAGAGACCATGGAGACAGCGGAGACCGAGGAATCAACGGAGACTTCGACATTCCCCCGGGGACGCCTCGGCAGACAGACACGCATGAGGCAGTGACGAGAGGAAGAGAACCGAGATCCGAGGGAACAAATATCCACCATGTTGTTAGCCACCCTGCTAGCATATCGACGGCTAAAGCTACAACGGAGCCTCCCTCCCCCCACCACCCCACCGCTCCAAGCACCACGGCAGGCCGCAAGCCGTTTGCTGTAACGGACAAAGACAAATATCTTCAAGCTGACGACATTATGCATTTAAACAACAAAAATGGACTACATATTTTTCATCTGAACACTAACAGCCTGAGACACAAACTGGCTGAACTCAGGCAACTGTTCATGAACGGTAAGGCAAGCATATTATGCTTTTCTGAGACCAAATTGGACAATTCCATTACAGATTCAGAGATTGAAATTGAAGATTATCTTGTAGTGAGAAGGGACAGGAACGTGAATGGAGGTGGTGTCTGCATGTACATACATAAAGACACCAATTTCAAAAACCGTACTGACCTGCATCATGAAAATATTGAATCTGTGTGGGTTGAAATTCTTTTTGACAATGCTAAATCTGTAATAGTCGGGACAATCTATAGACCACCGGAACAGAGTGACTTTTATGATACATTAGATGGGTGTTTGGCTGATGTGGGGGATGTAGAGACAATTATTATTGGAGACTGGAACACGGATATGCAACGTAAAGACACGTCCGTCTTCAAGTCCTTCAGTAGGATTTGTGATCTGCACGGCTTCAGCCAGCTAATCACCCAACCCACCCGGGTATGTGAAACAACACAAACTACCATTGATCTCATTCTGACCTCTGACAGGTCCAGGATCTCCAGTAAAGGGGTTATAGCATGCGGTTTAAGTGATCATTATATGATATTCTGTACCCGCAAAAAGCTAAAACAAAAGGCCGGCTGTCACAAAACAGTCATATCTAGAGACCTCAAAAACTACTCTAGCGAGGCCTTTAACCTAGAACTGGAGAGCCTGGACTGGTCAGATGAGCTCAGTGGTACACAAGTTGAAGAAACATGGCTTGGTTTCAAAAACAAATTCTCTGCAATACTCAATGATTTGGCCCCCCTAAGAACAACCAGGGTAAAAAATCGCGCTGAGCCGTGGATGCACTCCGGCATACTGACCGCCATGAAAACCAGAGACAAAAAATGCTCTGAGTTTCATAAAAGTCAGTCAATGCTTTCCAAAAGCACGAGCAGTGAACTCCAGGCCCACGTGACTGAACTAAAAATTGAAAGAAACAGACTAAGAAATGACGTAAGCTCCATGATCAAAACTGCCAAAAAGAATTTCATCAATGACAAAACTGAGGAAAACAAAAATAAACCCCGTGAACTTTGGAAATTACTCAATAACCAGCTTGGCTGCAGTAAAAAACTCAAAACGAGATTTTCAAACGTAAACATAAAGACAGATAACAGGCTCATCACAGACAAACTGGATGTGGCCAAGTACTTGAACATTTTTTTCACAAACATAGCCACAACTCTTGTAAATAAATTACCCTCCCACTCAGGGCTTTTTGGAGTAGATCACATCATGACCTACTACAAAAACCTAGGGGTACGCAAAGATGATTTCAGTCTAGCAAGGGTAACAACAGCAGAGGTACTCATTAAACTGAGCGCCCTCAAACCTAACAAGGCCACTGGCCACGACAATATCCCCTCCAAATTCCTCAGAGACACAGCAACCGCCATCTCACCAGTCATAGCTCACATAATTAACCTCTCCATAAAACAGGGAAAAGTACCCAAAGACTTCAAAATTGCAAGAGTAACCGCCCTGCACAAAAAGGGCAGCAAATTGGACCCAGGCAACTACCGCCCTGTTTCTATACTTACCTCCATCTCGAAAGTCATGGAAAAAATAGTATATGAACAGGTCGAAAAGTACCTCGCAGAAAAGAAACTAATCTATGAATTTCAATCTGGCTTTAGAACATCCCACTCCACTGACACATGCCTTCTTTATTTGAACGACCACATCAAACAAGAGGTGGACGAGGGTAAATACTGCGGCATGGTGATGCTGGACCTACAAAAGGCTTTCGACACTGTCAATCACCCCATTCTGATTGACAAGCTAAAAGCAATTGGTTTTGATAAACTATCGGTGAGCTGGATGCAATCCTACCTGGAGGGGAGAGAACAGATGGTGGAGGTAAACGGTACTCTGTCCCCCCCCCTCCCAGTGAGCTGTGGTGTTCCACAAGGAAGCATATTAGGTCCGTTACTGTTCCTAATTTATGCAAATGACATGTCATCAGCATGTGACTGCAACTTGTTCCTGTTCGCGGACGACTCAGCCCTGCTGGTCTCTGACAGGAGCAGATTGCAGGTTGAAAAAACCCTCAGCTCCGAGCTCGGCAGAATCTGCACCTGGCTCGCCGATAATAAATTATCATTACACCTGGGTAAAACAGAGTCCATTCTCTTCGGTTCGAAACATAATCTCAGCAAATCCGACGACTTCTCAGTTGCAGTGGGTGACATTATTGTCACAAGTAAGAAGGAAATTACATACCTAGGATCTATTCTTGAGGCAAACCTCTCCTGTGACAAAATGGCATCCAATGTAATAAAAAAAGTCAATCAAAGAACTAGATTCCTATACCGGATCTCCTCTCTGGTAAACAAAAACACCCTGAAAACTCTGGCAGGAGCACTCATTCAAGGGTACTATGACTATGCTTGCACGTCATGGTACCATAGCACCTCCAAGGCGCTAAAAATAAAACTTCAAACATCGCAAAATAAACTGGTCAGACTACTGCTTGACCTTTCATCTAGAACCCACCTCACCTCTGCCCACTTTGACAACCTAGGATGGCTTAGAGTAGACGACAGAGTACAGCTACTTGCAATGGGCCTGGTCTACAAGATCCACTACACCTCTATGGTACCCATGTACATGTCAAAATTCTTCCCAAAGGTCAAGGAATACCATGATCATAACACCAGAGGGAGCTCCACAAATCATGTAAAACCCAGATTTGGCACAAAAAAAGGGGAATACACGTTTCGCAATTATGCCACATCAAGGTGGAACGCTCTTCCCACAACTGTAAAGGAAAGTAAAACTATACTTACCTTCAAAACCTCTCTTAAAGAGCACCTTCGGGGGAAAGCATTGCAAAACTGGCCCCGGTAATGGTACAAATCTCAACCTGTCGTACAATGGACAGCTTCCCCCCCCCCATCTATGTATATACTCGCATTTTAGACTCTGTTACTAACTGTATATCTGTAGACTTGGTATGTCTTAAATGTCCGGTTAGGATGTATTAGAACGAAATCTAAAATGAAAATTGTAAATAAGCCATCTGTATGTAAAAAACCACCTGTATGTAAATTGTAAATAAGCCATCTGTATGTCAAATATGTCTTATATGTCTTAAATGATATGATGAATTGGAAATGGGGGACCCTGATGTAAACAAGACGAAAGTCTTTCTCTGGTCTGCATCCCCTTAATAATTGTATGTTTTGAGCTGTACTGTACTGTACCCAATATACAAGCTGTTAATAAACTTTTCAATCAATCAATCAATTCAATCAATCAATCAACATTGAGAGATTCTCCACTCGCGTGGTGGCTCTGGCTGAATATCCACTCGGGCTGCAGGAGTACCTGCGCTGCAAGATGGCCCAAGTGGACCCAGCTTTAATCTGAGAAGTGGCGAGTTAAAGTGCAATGTGTTCACTGTATATAAATTACTCTAGGACCAATGATGTGTTTACCAAATCTGTCAATCCCCTGAATCTCTGTGTTGATACTTCCGGTCCTGATGGTCCTCCTGAGTATTCCATTTCTCATGGTACCTCCCCCAAAGCTCTGTTGGTCATTGAGCCTAATGCCCCTTTCTTCTTCAGGTTGGAGCTCGTCTGATCTCCCATGCTGGCAAGTATATTTCAAAGTCGGGCCGGGCAGTAACGACATCAGAGTTCTTCCTGAAGAATGTGAACCCATTTCATGAGGTCCCCCCCCCCCCCCTCCCTGCTGGGGAATAAAGTGGCTACAGTGATGGCAGGGCGGGGCAGGAACCGAGCAGGGTGACTGGAGAGGGCTAAGGTCTCCTCCAGAGTGATCCCTCTCCCCCAATGCACCCCCACAGTCTGAGGTAGAACATCCAAGTTATATTTCAACTATAAAAAGTGGCTGTGATGACAAACTTGCCCTCACTGATTAGATCTGATTGAGACAACTTAGATAACTGAGCCACACTAAGGGAAGGACCCTTCAGACTGAATCAAAGTTAATGCATTTCTGCTCTAATTGCTGTCTCTCTTTCTTCAGGTGTTGGATAACGCTGATGCAGAGAGAAATAAGATGACTAAATCACCTGCAGGTATGTTTTTAAACTACACCTTAAATATGGATTATTTCTGGCTGTGATGACAAACTTGCCCTCACTGATTAGATCTGATTGAGACAACTTAGTTGTCTCAATCAGA